GCCGCCATCGCCACCATTGCCATTGTCGCTGTCGTTGTCGTCGTCGTCGTTTAACCCCGTGGTGGGGTTTCCTAATGCAGCAACAGGGTTTTGCCTATTTCCCCAACAGAACCGTTGGAAAACACCCTTATCCTCGCGGTTCTCCTCACTGCGAGAGCAGTTGTCACTATCAGCTGGCTTCCTAGGTCCCTAGCATCCCTTCATAGTATCAAACAAAAACATTAACATTATATATATAAGCAAAAAACTTAAACTTAAAAGAGAGGGAATAAGAAAACCATCTCGACGTCATTCTCGTCCTGCACAGTTGATTTGCCGCGATGGGATGGCTCGGGCTGATCGTTGTCACCATCGTTCAGAGCATGCTTCTTAAATCCGAAGCAGGAGAAGGCGTTGCGCTTTGTTTGCTTTTGCGGGCTTGGGATTTTCTTGTGGAGGCTTAGGATTTGAGGGGTTCGAGAGGATGCTAGCTAAGGCTACGAGATCAGCAGGGTAAGATTCATCGATGTCGCTCATATCTTTTGGATTTCAAGAGAACTCTTGGGCTGAGGTAGGCTTCAATGTCGAGAGGATTTGGTTGTGCCATTTTATAATAGTAGTCGGTGCTTACCTGTCGACGACGCAACCCCGTCAAAGGCTGCTCGCCGAGCCCAGAGCCACAGTCTGTCGCCGAGGAACAGAGTGACAGTCTGTTGTCGACAGAGCTGGGTAGATTACTATAGCATGTGCATATAAAGACAAACCTTCTTTATCAGGCAATTTAGTTACGCTCATCTTACGTCTTGCTTTCTTAATATTTATTTGTAACGGTCTTGGCTTAATTTAACTGCTAAATATATGTTGAATTTTTTTATTGTCATCAAATATGATAATTAATTTAGAATATTAAAATATTTATTAATTATAAGGAGACATAATTTTAGTATGATCTTAACTGTATGTATTTTACCCATGTATATGAATTAATTAGTTTTTTGTATTATACAATTTTTGATAAATTATATTAATATTCATACAATATTATCCAAACCATTTAAAAGATTGCCGAACTTCAAATTTATAAGCCCAGATTTGTTTTCATAAGTTACTTTTAGTAAAATCCAAAAATTAAAATCTATCAATATAAGAACATAATTAACACTAATAGAAAATCAAGCAACCTAGATGGATTAACCTAGACGGAATTTTTTCCGTCTAGTTTGATCCAACCTAGACGAAAAATTTTACGCCTAGGTTAATCCGTCTAGGTTGCGTCAACCTAGATAGAAAATTCCGTCTAGGAAGGCAACCTAGACGGAAGGCCGTCCTAGATGGAAATTTTCCGTCTAGGATGGTGGATCCCTCACAGAAAATTTCCCAAAAATTTTGTATCCCACTCTCAAAATATTTCCGCCTTTATTTCCCCCCTCATCTTTCAAACCCTTTAATTTTCCAATCATCTCCCAAACTTTCAAAACCTAACTCCAGCCCTCCACCTTGTCCTCCAAACCCTAAAGCCCCAACCACACCACCGTCGTCCTCCAGTCCCTCCTTCGCCAAACCCTAGCTTCTCTCTCCTCTCACCAATTCGCCCCCAAAACCCTAGCTTCTCTCTCTAATGTGATAATCCCTCGATCTTAGATCTAACTTTTCCACTGGTGCAACGTAAGCGATGATGTACTGCGGTGACGGCGGGGTCCACCGACGCCGATGGGTCCTAGGATGGCGCCCAGAAGATCCCATCGGCGTCGTCGATGCCTTGGGTTCGGAACCTCCGTAGGTTCATCGGATCCGACAATGACCTTGGATCCGAAACCCTAATGGGTCAGTACCCGCTTTCCTCTATTTCTTGGAAATTTGCACTTCTGATTCGTTTCACACCCGATGTCATACTTTCGTTCGCTGCATGCTAATATTTGATCGACCAAAATCCCAGCTTTCAAAGCCAAATGAAAAAGATGAAGACAATGATGATTGACTTGTAAATTTATTGATCCTGTGATGGTTAGGGTTTTGGGGAGGTCGGCGTTTCATGATACATCTTTGATATCGTCGGGAGATCTCTCGTGTTTGGGCGGAGAGGTTAGTTACAATTACAAAGTTGGAATTTTTGCAGTAAATGTGTTTTGAAACGGTGGTCTTTTGATTATTAAATGGAAATTTGAGGAAGTTTGCAACTTTTAGGATAATCATTCTGTGGGGTTCAATGTCATTAAGAGTTACATGATAGCTCAATTAAGAGTTGCATGCTCTGAAGGACGGTGACAACGACCAGCCCGAGCCGTCCCATCGCGACAAATCAGAAGTTTTTTATTTATATATAACGTTAATGTTTTTGTTTGATACTGTGAATGAATACTGGAGACCTAGGAAGCCAGCTGACGGTGACAACCATCCTGACAGTGAGGAGAACCATAGGGATAGGGGTGTTTTCCAACGGTGCCGCTGAGGAAATAGGCAAAACCTTGTTGCTACGTTAGGAAACCCCAACCCCGGGTTAAACAACGGCGGC